CTCATGACACAAGGATAAAGGACCCCCCCCCCTTTGTTGGGAATGGCAAACTTAATGAAAGTTAGGCAGCGATATTGCAACCAAGGGGCCAGCCATGCCAGTGGTTTGAAATGAAAACGATAGTCTAACCTTGTGGCTGATGACTCGGAATGTAATGATGGTTCAGTGGGCTGTGTTTAAGCAGGCTTCGGGAGAGAGGGGTCGCATCTCACTGCTGAACTAAGCTTTCCAAGTCTGTGTATGTGAAAAGGCAGAGGGGAACTCTATGGATTTGGAAATTGTTGCACAAATAGGATTATCTCCTGATACATTATCCCTTCTGACACCGATGACAATAACACAGCAAAAAGAATTTCCAGACGTCATTGGGGTAAAAGTAAAGAAAACTCTCAATGTAGCTGTGAGGACGAAACTTGCATTTTCATTCAAAGCTACCATTCTGGTTCATGTTAAAACTGGTTTTCAACTTTTCCAATGAAGAACTAACTGCACGAAGGATTAATTTCAGTTTTCTTTTCTCGTTACTGTTTGGCAGTCAAGGTGGAAGCTAGATCGCGCCACCCCAAAGACCCATTTGAGTGCAAGAATACAACCCACAATTCTCAGCTTGTGACCAAGACAGGTGAAGGAGCCCTGGAACCCACCCCCATGCGTAGTAACTGCCCTGCACCCCTCCTGCTTCCCCTTAGCATGCTGAGCTCAATTGAAGAAGAAAGATGCACTACCGTGGATTTCAGCATGCACGGAGCATGCTGGGCAGCAAAATGCCAAAGAGAAAAACCATAAAGACCAATAAATAATAATTAAAACTACCCTCCCGCCAACTCGCAGCTCGCTCAAGACTTCAGTCGGGAGCCCTGTTAGCTAGATGCCTTTTACGTTCAGGCCACTTTGCATGCCTCTTACTCTGAGTGATTCCAGTGTGAATATGACATTACTAATGACCTGCTAAGTGTGTGCAGATGTGGGTTTCTCCAGATGTGGTGATTAATAATGTAATGTGGAGATAGCCAGTCAACTCATGTTTATGGGTCGTTGGCCTTTTATTACATTTCTGAGTTTATTTGCTTTGAACTACGTCTTAACTCCAGCCAACAAACTCACCTTTAAGTCTCAGAGGGCAGCATCCCCCTAAACCCCATGGAGGAAACGGGGAAGAAGGAAGGTGCCCCAGGCTGGAGCTGAGCAACGGGTTCATCGTATGTCAGGGCCCCGGATTACGTGGGAAAGCTGAAAGGTGAAATCGTTGCCCGTTTCACTCAAAGGGCCCACAAAGGCATCGGTGAACCTTCATACGCTGTTTGCAAGCTGGCTAGGCCAATAAAGAGAGGGACTTCTTTTTTAAAAAAAATCTAGTAAAATATATGATCATTTTGAACTAAGCCCAGAGTTCTGGCCAGCGTTTCTGGAAGATGTTGCCTTGCTTTTTGCTTGAAAACAGAATGACGATGAAAAGTCGAGCAAAATGTCGTTACAGATGTTCGACTCTGCGTTCAGGCTGTTGGGATTACCACCACGTCCTCAATCAATTCCCAGAGCGTTGTCTGGAGGTTATGTCATCGAAATAATGAACCCTCTTTAGTCAAGTGTAAGCAAACATGTTAAAACATCGTTGTAACTTTAAATTAAAGTCTAGCGCCAGCCAAGGGATCCTAGCCTCATTAGACTTGCCTGACATTTTTCTAGCACGGAGTCTCCCCGACTGTAAAGCTGTTGGATGCAGTGCCTGTTAGACGGGCGGGCGCTGGGAAGTTACGGCGGCACATTAAGTGTTATACTTAGGGATGTGCAGAAACGAGCCCTCGGCTTTTATGAGAATGCGGAGACTGGAGGGAGTTCAGCACCTATAAAAATTCCACTTGGATTCCTCAACTTGTTTGTGTTTTAAAGGAGCTGGTAACTCAGGTTCCTTTAACAGATCGTATCTTCATGAGGCTTCCCCAGCTTGAAGCGGGGAGAGCCGGAGACCGAGGTGTCCGGTAATGAGCCACAAAGCAGGCTCACCAGGAGCCTGTGAATGTGTGTCGGCATGAGGTCCATCCATGTGCCTTTCTTGAAAGTATGTAAATTTCAGTCTCCCTTTTAATCCAATTTTTATTCCTCTCCTGTAGTCACAGGAGCCATGAAATGGAAATTCTGTTTTATAGCTTACCTGAAAGTTTTCCTAGATTTGCTTTCTTTAAATAGGCAGAAATCGGCGGTCAAGGATAATAATTAAATACGGTTTATACTCTACTTATGAGAAAGAAGGGATCACTGCTTCTCTTGTGGGAACTAAGCCATCGGTAATAGTCTCCATTGCATAGTGTTCATGTTGAAGCTGGGGACCTTCCCCCGTCTCTGAAGGGAGCAGATCTGCATTGCCAGGCCGTGAGTGCAGGAGGAAACCTTTGAACACGGGTTGCATTGAAGAGAACAAATCCCACTTTAAATGCAGTCTGATTATGATGGATGATCGTTCTGACTTGCAATGAAAATAAATAGTTTCCTTGCATAGAAGGAGGCATAGCTTTAGCAGCAGAACGAGGTGTCTCCCTGCAGCTGGCTAACAGGTATCAACTTGCAAGTCTTCCTTCCATCTGAACATCCCTGCAGGTAAACAGACAGCAACAAGGCGCAAGGAGAACCAGCTCTTAACCAAAGAGGGCTCTTTATTGTGGGCCGAGTGCAACTGGGAAGACAAGCACTAAGCAAAAGAATCCAACAGAAATGCAGCGAGTGTGGCTTCTTCTGTTCAGGTCTTAAATACTATGGACAAAATCATGGCAACATCTGGCGGCTTTGAGTTAAGTTAGCCATAGTGGACTAGGTCCAAGAGCCTTTTGGAAATTTCATTCTAGCCATTGAAAGGCTCATGTGATAGAGAAGAAAAGAACTTTCATCCCCACGAGTCCCACGGCCACGCACACGCGTTATTTAGTCTGGCATGCTACTCAACTAACCTAGGCCCGCCGTAAGTGGTCCACATTAAAGGGTGACCTTGCATTACCAGCGGAGTCAATGTAAGACTTTCTGCCCCATTCTAAGATGGGGAAAGTGCAGAAGTGTGTGTGTGTGTGTGTACACATACACTCTCTCTCTCAATCTCAGTCTCCTTGCCTTTCTGCCCCATTATTGCCTGGGATGCCCGGCCCTGTCCTGTGAAAGCAAGATGAATTCAGGTCAAGCTCAGAGTGCCTGTTTGCTCGCTGAGAGATGCATATCCACCCTAAGTGATTTTTTCTATACCATTTATGTGGCTGGTATTTATTTCCTTTAATCTTTTAAGTGCTGTTTAGTCTCGGTGTGATCTGCTGTGGATACTCATTTCCGATAAGATGCGATATCCTCCCAGGCACATAGTTCCAGCCTGGAGCCCTAAGTGACTGATAGGGTCGCAGCCTGAGCACGGGCCTCTGGGGGCATGGGGCGGGCGGCAGAGCGAGTGGGCTGTGGGCATTTACAGGTGCTTCCTTGCCTTCGTTTCTTCTGGAGTAGCTCTCAATTTGAACCACGTTCTTGTTCTCTTACCCTGTGTCAGCCAGAATTTAGACAACCTTAGACTGGCAGTGGAAGGGGGGTGGGGTGCCAAGTGCGATACCCTAAGCAGGTCCAGAAGGTAGTTAGTTGGATGACTGCCATCCCTTTGGAACTCTGTATCATAACACACTACACTTACTCAGGGTCTTCAGGGAAGTGCCATAGAATGCAGGTGCTGAGATGGGTCTTTCTGGACAAGGTCAAGTAGCTGAGGTGACGGTTTCTTTCCAACCCATGACTTGTACACCATTAACAAACGTCAAGCATCTTCCGATGTCATCACTGCTAATATTTCTCTTCTTAGCCTTAAGGTCACTGCTGTGCACTATGGGTTTCGGGGTGCTTCCTCCCCCTCTGTGTTGCAGTCAACTATGCGAACCCGAGGAGCCTACTTTTCCTTCTTGCCATTACAGCTGTAGCCTGGATTGTGGGGGTGCGGAGAGGGGGACTAGAATTTTCCCACTGATGCCCTCGGGGGACAGGCTGGGTGTGCATCTGCTAATTTATCAAGCGACTCTCTTAAAAAGAAGCATGGTGCAGGCTGATGCCTCTGCAAAGCTTGTGAGTGGGTGTCTTTGGTCAAAGGCAGTGGCGCGTGCTGTGCTGTGTGTGAGCGAAGCTTCACATTGCTTAGCACTCTGTGTAGCTTAGACATCCGGGAAACAGCCTTTGGTTCCCAACCCACTGTGCTGCCCTCCTTCCCTGCCCTTCACCACGTCATCAGAGATATCATTCAATGGCAACCTCCTCCTTCATTTGGGGGCTCTTCTCCTGCCCGGTTCTCCAACCTTGCAGTCCCGTCCAACTGTCCTGATAAAATAGGAAAGGTTCCCACGTGTGCAGCTCCCCTTTTGGGGAGGTGGAGGGACAAGGGCTGAGTGGGCTGTGGATTCCTGAGTCAGCACGCGCCCACATCCCCAGTCCTGAGTGACTGAGACTTTGGCTGCGAAGGCCTCCAATCCTAGCCTCTCCCCAGGCTCTTCCTGGGGCACAGGGATCAGGGACCAGGGAAGTGGGTGCCTTCACAGAAGCAGAAGTCTCTGGCAGCTAGGGTGCTGCTATTTCCAAACAACTTGATTTCTGATTTTGGTTACGAGAAAACCCATTCAATTACCCAGCAAAGCCAAGTAACCAAAATGATCTCTTGAGACTAATGATTGCGTGTCCCCATCTATAGCACCATATTTTGTATGTGGATAAATCTCGCCTTCCTTTCTTTTTTTAGGGCAGGGTGCGTACACACTGTTGTAGTCTGTTCAAGTGCATGTTCAAACGCTGGAGTGTAAAGAGGTGACTTTTGCCTCCTCTGAGCCGGCTTCTCAGACTAACACATGGGTCTTTGTCACTGGGTTCAAAAGGCAGCCCTGAGCTCCTAGTGCGTGACTGAACTGTGCGTGTGTGTCCTTTGATATCTTGCCTGTGTTGCGCAGTCTGCCCTCACTCACCTTGTCCATAATCTCATGAGCTGCCTGTATTTCCAGTTGAAGATGAGCAGCCCTCGACGCTGTCACCCAAAAAAAAGCAGCGGAATGGAGGCATGCGGAACTCCCCCGGCTCCTCGCCCAAGCTGATGAGGTAAGGAGAAGGGTCCCAGGCCTGGGGGTCCCCTCTAGCTCCTCCCCTCCCTTCATCACCGCCTCCCCACCAGCCCCGGCCCAGTGCCACCCTTCCCAGCTGGCAGGAGTCTGGGAGGGATGGGGTCTCCCATGGCTTCTCAAAGGCTGGAGTATTTATTCCGTCAGCTTGTCAGCAGTTAATGATAAAGCTGAAAAAACCCTGTCATGAAAAACAGTTGGGAGAGCTGTTTGAAAAATACACAGGCTTTAAAGGCGGAGCTGTCATCCTGTCCTGTCCCCGTGTCGTTCCTAACCAGCAGTGGCACTAATGACGGTGGCAGCCAATCCGGGAACGCGTGGGCCAGCGCGCCTCTGGCTAGTCTTTCTGCTGGGGGCCCTGTGAGGACTGCTGTCTGTACTGAGGGCCATATGTGCGATGTATCCTCACAATCAAAAAGGAACCTGAAGATTACCCCCCTTTCATCCTGTCGCCTGAAATCAAATTTCTGTTAATTGATTTTGACTGATAAAAAAGTCCAATAATCTGTGGATTTGCCGAAGCAAAGTTCAAAAGTAATCCTGTTCTGCTCTGACCAAAAGCAGTATTAATTATGAAATACAGTGTGCGCTTTCTCTCTCTCTCCTTCTCTCTCTCCTTCTCTCTCTCCTTCTCTCCCTCTCTCCCTCATTTCAGCCTGTTCCTCTTCTTGGCCTCTTTATCTTTTATCTTCCCTTTTTTTGTCTTCAATTCATCTGCCAATCTCAGTGCATGTTCTCTACAATGCCCTCCCTCCCTAGCATCTCCCAGCGGCAGGGGTTCATATGCTTCAAAGCTGTGTCAAAGTTTTGCTGCTTAAGGGTCCTTCTTTATTCTGCTGGCTCTTGGGTGCCGAGATGACAGGTCCTCTGTACGGCGTGGAAGCTTTTTTAAGTCGTAGCCTTCAGCAAAACATCAAATTACCAAATCCAGGGTAACATTCTTCTACACAAATGCCTTTCCTGTAGATATATTATACCATATATATTAAATACTTTAGTGTTCCACGCTACATTTTATGTGCAATAGAAAGTGATGGTTGGAGGTAGCCTGGAGGGGACTTTTTTTTTTCCACCAGCAGAAAAAGCCAGCGTATACCGTATCAAGTATGGTTTTTACAGGACTTTCTGCCCGAAGGCCTTTGTAAATAAGTAATGATCAACAGATTGGCTGTGGGTTTTTGAAAAGCATGCCTATGTCAGTTTGCATGATGGGGGAGAATTTTCAAAGTGGGGCTTGCTTTCATTGCCTGTCAGCGAGGGGCCGAGGGAGGCCGTCATCCCGGGCCGGCGCTGTCTGTTCCACGGTGCATCGGGGCTGCTCACTGGGGTCAGGCGTGAGCTGAGACTCGCCATGGTTCAGAGCTCACGTTTCTGGTGGTGGTGCCCGTGGACTGCTGTGCTGGCCAGGCCTCCTGTCACCCCAGTGCTGTTCCCCACCGCTCAGGGCCTCAGTCCCGGCTCAGCTGGGATGCGCTGTCCCCTGCTGAGTCAGAAAGTCTCAGGATGCTGAGTGCCAGGTGCTCCCCAGACCCTGCTGTGGGAGCAAGGACAGGTGCTAACCCCGCTCCGTTTCCCGTCGCTCCGTGTGCATGGAGGCCACGGGCTTACTCGGCTTGGAGTGTCTGGCCCTGGCGATGAGGCTGCCAGGCCTGTTGTTGCTACATCCCTCTTGGGGTTTTTTGTTTTTGTTTTTTTAAATATATTTTATTGATATTTTACAGAGAGGAAGGGAGATAGAGAGTTAGAAACATCGATGAGAGAGAAACATCAATCAGCTGCCTCCTGCACACCCCCTACTGGGGATGTGCCCACAACCAAGGTACATGCCCTTGACCAGAATCGAACCTGGGACCCTTCAGTCCACAGACCGACACTCTATCCACTGAGCCAAACCGGTCAGGGCTATATCCCTCTTGTTGATGGAGAGAAACAGAGGGGCCCGTGCAGCACCTGTGGCTTTGCCAGTCCATCCCCCCCACCCCCCAGTATCCAAACTCTCCCTTTCTACTTTACAAAAGACAGGACTTCTAGGTCCTGTTCCTTATGATCCTGAAAAACTCACTCAGGAAGCTAAGGACGTACTGAAGTGGGCTTTTGACATGCGTTTGGGGTTTGCCGTCTGAGCAGAAGCGCTCACTGTGCGTGTGGGCAGGTTTCAGGGGCCGATGGGCCAGCACAGCAATAGCTCCAGGAGAAGCGGGAGAGTCCAGACGGGTGAGGGTGGGATTTAATTCGCCACCGTGGCTCCTGCAAATAAAACAGGCTTCCACCGAGGGCTCCCTGCAAACCTCTACCGGCTACACCACGGCTGGGCCTCCACACTAATGGGTCTCCATCTCCTTTTGTCCTGGTATCAGGCTCACCCTGATTTTTAAGGGTCACATCGCTCTGCGCCATCATTAGGTGAACAGCCTCGTTTGTGTGTCTGGATCAGACAGTATGTTTTTGAGCCATCCTGACAGAAAGCAACTTGCGCAATCAGACTGAGCCAAACGGCCAATGTCTGTGCTCCCAGCCAGGGGTTCCTGTGTCATCACAGGCGACCTGTGGCTTCACAGCCCCCGGGTGAGAGGGCCTTAGAGGTTCCCAGGACCCTGGTACTCTCCGTCCTTGCTGGTCTCTCAGCGTAGACAGCTTTTAGGAGCTGCTCCTGGCTTTCCTGCACACCAAGCATCCACCGCTCAGGCCTCCTCGCTGGTGGGCTGTGCCTTGTAAGATAGCTGGGATTCCTCCATTGTAAGGCCTTCCAGGCAAGAACTTTGTCTCTAAATAGCTAAGTCAGGGGCTCTGAATTTGGGGGTCTCACAAGTCCCACTGAACAGCCAATGAAAACTCTCCAGCGGGTCTCCCCAGGGAGAAAGAAGGGGCGCTGGGCACCATTTTGCCTACAGCTGCAGCGGCTTCACGGATTCCCGACACCCGTGCCCAGGTTACAGCCACACGCAGTTCCCGGTCATTGCTTCTCGGATGCTGCGTGGCTGCTGAGAATGCTTCCCGCGTGGGTGGACAGCATGGAGGCCCTGCCTGGGCTCTCACTTCCTCTCCTCAGATGGAACCCACCAACGCTGCGCATTCCGGCCAGCTGCTTCTCTCCTTTTCTCAGATGCGTTTCCATGCAGCCGGTGCTTACTGAAAGCCTGGGGCATGCAGGTGTGCGGGAGATCTGTGAGGTGGAAAGTAACATGGATTAGGGTAGGTGTCCGTCTGAAAATGCTAGTTTCATGTAGGAGACAGACAAGCCTATACAGCAAAATAGAGGAGGAGCAGTTTGGATAGCTACCGGCATGGGCCCCGAGGACAGAGAGCTGACGTCACCTCCGGGCCTGTGTGTGTGTGTGTGTGTATGTGTGTGTGTGTGTGTGTGAAGAAGGTTCCATTTAACCTGGTCCTGACTGAGGAGGAGAACTCTCTATTGATGATATTACCTACCCTGTGCATTGCTTACTCCGTGCCACGCATCCTTCCAAGTGCACCATGCCTGTGAACTCGCTGACTCCCAACTACAGCTCCAGGAGGAGGAATTACTCCCCCCCGCCACCCCTACTCCTTTATAGATAGAGAAGCTGAGTCACGCTGTAAAGTCTAGTAAAATCCAGTAAGTCTTAGCTAATGAGGAAGAGTTGAACCCACATTATTACTTCCAAGTCCACATTACTAACTCCTTCACTATTGGACCCAATAGAGGGTAGAGCGAAAGTGCTCAGACCACAAGAAGTGGCTTAGTGAACCCTGGAGCAAGGAGTCCTGTGAGAAGAGCCTGGCACTCACTCCCATTGTAGGTGCTGGGGAACCCTCGCAGGTGTTTGAGGAGGCAGTGCCCTAGCTTGTGTTTGGGAGGGTCATTGATGGCCTCCCAAAGAGACCACAGAGACACACGGTACATGAATACAGAGATGTGAAGGGAAGGCCCAGCCCACCCAGCCTCTGCCCAAGTCCTTGGGGTGCCAAACCACACAGGGCTTGCTACAGAACAGTGGGCTGGAAGCTGCTACATGGTCTTCCCAAGGGCCCACATAACGTGAGCATCCCTGACGTCAGCTGACGTTACCCCATTTCCCCAGGAGCTAGGGAATTTTGAGGAAGATCGAGGAGCCCGGGCTGTGAGGATTTGTGCACCATGGGTTGGCCAAAGTCAAAGTCCCCAGCCGGGCCAGTGAGGATAATGGATGACACCAAAAAACAGGAGAATTGAATACTGTGAGGGAGCTTCATGTCATGAGACTCAGAAAATATTAGACATTTGTTTCCTGAACGGAAGGAGAACTGTGATTTGAGGGAAACAGATCACCCTCTCGGGCATTTACTGATCATTAAGTGAAATAAACTCATCTGCTTGCTAAGTCCCATTCTGCCTCCTTTAACTCTTACCTTCCATGGGGTTTCTGTTAGGACTGGCAGCTTGACGGGGTTCAGTAAGAGAAGATGGCAGAGTGGCTGAGCCCAGCCAGTTGGGGGCAGGATACAGAAGGAGTGCAGGGACAGCGTGGCTACGTAAATGTACCTCTTAATGCAGAAACAAACAGGAAGTCAACAGCCCCTCATGAGGACGTGTCAGTCCCCCAAGATGTCTCCCCAACACAAAGGCAGTAATTCCCTTCTCCCTCAGAGAATGGTGGCTGCCTAACAAGAGGTGACGCATGAGGTGGCCATAGTTCTTGATTGTTTACCTGTTAGGCAGAAAAAAAAAATGTAACGAGAGTGAAAAGGACTCTACTTTTGGCAGAGGGGTTAGAGCCTGGCCTGGAGGTGTTTTCAAGGTGACTCCAGAGATGGTCATCTGGCGGGAGATGAGGGCAGGGCGCCACCACTCAGGAGAGATGATGAAGGAGGATCCTTGCAACATAGTAGCAAATACTATACACCCAGAACCAAAATACACCCTGAATGACGCATTTATATTGCTGAAAACCCAATATCAGCCCTTTTGAGGTGACACCTGAGACCTTCTCCGGTCTCCTGGGGCCAGCACAACCAGAGACT